TTCATTGTTATTGTGGAAAACGTCTATACCTTTCATTTTTTAACATTTTCATCCTTATTTCCACCTTTCATTGCGTAAAAGGTCATTTTCATCAATTTTTCAATTAAAAATTGTGAAATGACAAAAATACTATTTCCTTTAAATAAAACAAAAGAAAAAAAACTAATTGTAATCATAGTTTTAATTTTTTTGAAAAACGCAAATAAGTCGTATAAATTATTAAAAATATAGATTTTAATTCCTACCAAACATCAACTAAATTTGTTGTTAGAATTAAATTAAATTCAAATTTTAATTCAAAACTTAAAAACGAATTTTGATTAAATCCAAATTTATTGTGAGCAATAGAAGAAGTTTTTCAAAATTTAGCAGTCAAAATTTGGTTATCTCAAAGTTTAGTGAGCAATAAATGACGTTTTTTAAAATTTAGTGAAAAACCGAATGCTTTTTTAAAGTTTAGTGGTCAAAATTCGACTATCTCAAAGTTTAGTGGCCAAAAGTCGATCATCTCAAAGTTTAGCGACCAAAATTCGACTACCTTAAAGTTCAATGAGCAGTAGAAGATGTTTTTCAAAATTTAGTGAGAAATCGAAGACATTTTCAAAGTTTAGTGACCAAAATTCGACTATCTCAAAATTTAAAGGTATGACGGGGTGCCACTTATGTATTCCATCAATCGTGTCACCAACTCCATTAGAGATTTTACATAGAAGTTATACCAGTAAGTAATGTCCATCATTTTCCAAAGTTCAATAATCAAAACTCGACTTTTTAAACTTCAATGATCAATTGAAGACATAGACATAAGTTCGATGATCATTGAAACAATTAACTTAATTATAGACTAACATAGTACGGGGTTTGACTCTCATTCTCTAATTTTTTTTTTTTCAAACTTATTTTTAGTTATATATTATTTCAATAAAAGTTTTTGATATAAATTTAAATTTTTCTCTTATTTTTTAACCAAATAACTCCCCCCAAAAAAAAAAAAAAAAAAACAAAATAAAATAAAAAAAAAAAAAAATAAGGGAAAAGGCTTGGGTTGCCTCCCAAGAAGCGCTTATTTA